TAAAATCAGGGCTTCCGGCAGGCCACAGTATTGAGCCTCTTCGTCCTATCCAGTGAAAGAAATTCTTCATCAAGATTATTCGATTGACGACAATAGGGATACAATTTGAGTAATTTCAAAAAAATTACTAGATATTTCAATGTGAAATATCTTGAAAACGGTGCGAGCTATCGACGTGAACCAAGTACCCATTTAAAATATCGAAGAACGAAAAATTTAACAGCAAAAAAGCGATATTTTAAAATCCAACAAATTTCTGATGTTTTAAAGGGCTCCTGACTATTACAGCGATGTCGAAACTACAAGCTAAATAATAAGAAATTATTTGGATTTCTCGATAAAAAAATCCAAATACAATTTTTTTGGCATTAGTAAAATTGCTTAACAATCAATGAAAAAACCGTAGATTTCATGTACACTTAGACATCAGGACAGTATGTCGGAAAAAACAAATTTGCCGCAAACCGAATAGTGCGCAAAGCTTTTAAAGCAAATATTTTTCTGTTCGCTCGTTAAGATAAAAATTGAAGAAAAAGGGAAAATTGAGTCTAAACCAAATATGGTATTCCGCAAAATAGCTTACTAGCTAACTTAGACACCAGGATAGTATCTCGGCAAAAGTATGTCGGTGAGTAGTTGAGGACCACCGTGTATAAACCTTAAAAAAATCACCATTTGTCATAACTGATCATGAAAACCCTGGTAAACTGGCGACTTTTAACACTAGAGAAAACACCATTTGCGGACAAACACCCAGTATATGAAAAAAAGTGGCTACTTACACAGTCCCACTCGTTTCAATCCGGACTCCCACACATTCCACACCCGTTGTCCGACGGAGTTGCTGAGAAAAGGAGCGTCCTGGATACTGATCAAGGAGGAAGACTTGCTTGCAGATGAGTCTGGAGCTGGCTGAATTGCATCCGGCGAATCTGGCCGTGTGGACGGACCAGCTTTGGCACCGTCCTGTCCCTGTGGACTTTCCAATATCGCTGGCCCTCTATTAGACGAGCCTGGATTCTCCTCTGGACTCCCCGTTGCAGCACCCTCTTGACTAGTGCTTACCCCACCGGCCATGATCGGCATACTCTGAGAATGTGATGGTAATGGTAAACATGATCGGCAATACAACACTGCTATCTACCGGTGAATTATCCTGGTCTTCCCTGCTATTTGTTCCCGACATTTCGAATTGATCAATACAGTTAAATTACCGACAAACAATTATAAAATACTAGACTTTAATTGGTTCACACAAACAATAAAATACAGCACAGTACGAAGACTAACTACACACTGAAATGCTTGAGGAACATGGGCAGTTTCTTCTGTTGGTTTTTTCTGGTGAAAAACGCCCGAACAGAACGCAAACTATGCGAAGGCCAATGGACATGTTAGACTATCAGTTGGATTTTGCAGGATTTATCAGGAACTATTCCAAGCCAGGCAAATAAAACGAATATTATTTTATGTCGGGTTTTATTCCAAGGTTTTTTCCTCTGCTGGACTGTCTAAAAGGTCCGTTCTCCATATTCCGTTACCAGTAAAATGGAACTCTTTCTCAATGTAGTACAGCACCAAATTCAACTGCTTGGACTGCTGGAGGTCTGTGAAACGCAATGTGGCCTCTCGACGCAGTTTTTCCAATGTTTTCTTTATTTTATACCTTCAAAAAATGGGGCTCTTTAGTAGGAAAAACTCTTTAGCTGCAACTTTTCGCGTTGATTACGCAAAGCGGCACATGGATTTTTTATTCCAAACTTAACAATTAAGATATGAACCCTGTTCAGAATTTCACCTGAGTTTTATACCACTAAAATTTTCCAATTCGCACTTGTTACTGCCGAAAAACTCCGACCAGCCTGCATATTTCTGCAACATTCAGACCTGGAGACCTCTTATACGTTTTCTGAAAAACTGAGCCAAAATCTTCAGTAACAAATACAGAGGATCCAAGCGTTTAAATGACAACTTTCCATGTTCCTTGCAAATTTTATTGCTGGAATTGAATAATCGATTTGAACTCAGTTAATTAATTTGAAAAAAACTCTGAAAGTTCTAGTTTGTCGCTGAAATCTCGAAGTTGTGCCGATCCGATTGCGTTCTTTCGACGGCCACTCTGTGTATTTAGACAACATATCCGGGTTTGAAATAAAAAGTTTGGACCTCCCTGTATATTATAACCATTTTTGACTCTTTAAGTTTCTAGAACAAATCGACCAAAAATGCTACATAATGAAGCTTTGGGAACATATACAGTGTGTTTCAAGCGTGCGCAAAATCACTTTCCATATTTTCTCCACTCTGTATATTAACATATCATCTCCAAAGTACGACCCATTGAAGCATTTTCTACCGCATTCTTCTTTAAGCCGACTAAAATGCCATTTAATGCAACATCAGCAACATATACAGAGTAATCCAGGTGTGTTTAAAACAATATTCCTTTTCTCTTACGTATTTTCTTCAATTTGTTACACATTTTTCTAAAAGTTTAAAGTATTTTTTATGCGAACACCGTGTATACTTTGCTGCAAACGACTCAGTAAATTTTAACATCAAATTATTAGATTTTTTATCCCAAAAACACATTAGTTTAAACCTTCGTGGATTCACTATGTATGTTTGTATAGAGTGAGCAAAACATTGAATAATAAATCAATTTGCACTCGATTTATCAACAAGACAATATTTTCGAGCCAAATWAGATTAGTTTCGATCAAACAATACAGAGTGTAAACAGTCTGAAAAATTTAAACCAGTTTTTTAATAACCGGGCATAAACCATGTACACAGAGTGAGTCAATTATTTTKTTCWCCAACAGACAGAAATCGCCATTAAGGGTCTTATTCAATTTATAGACACTTTAGAGTTCGTTTCCTCATKAAACGCCTGAATTTGCGAATTAAACACAAGCAAACGTGTAARATTCTTGGATATTATTTTGCCATTATAATAATAATAATTTTTTTTCCAAATTTGATTTACAAGCGCCTTCAGTTATCGATTAAAAGGTGTTAAGAAAGGGTTGTACAGAGACCAATTTCTAATATACAGGGTGTTCTAAAAACAATTTAATTCCAKGTATTTTTAATTAAAAAAAACCGGATTAATTTTAATGCAAATATAATATTTACTCAACTTTAGCGAAAAAATGTGCTGACTGAAGTTTGAGAATTAATTTCTCAAAAAACGAAAAAGATAGAGCCGCGCGAGCATCTCCACTGGATAGAGTCAAGTTTGCTCTATCAGTAACTATTTTTCCATTTCTTCAGTTCAATTAACTGATTTTTTATTTTTTAGTTTGAATCTAAGGCGTGCGCCGTTTAAATTTGCGGGCATCGACTGAAGTTTCCTCAGTTTATTTCTCAAAAACCCTGCGAGTTTCAAAAATGTACGTTACGGCGCTGAATATGGAGTTTGCTCTATTAATGACAATTTTTCAATCCCTCAGGTCAAACAAAAAAAAAACGATTTTATTTTAAGTACAAAGGACGATTTAAAAAAGCGATTAGTTTGAAAATAACTCAAAAATTTCCTGAGAATGGTCAAAATTAAAAACTTTCAGTGTCATTTGTTTCAACATTTGTCTACAACCTCCAAAAATCGATCACATTCTAACTCCTTCCAAAGCAAAAAAACGTTTTTTTTTAAGAAAAAGTACAAAATTTCCATCAATAAATGTTAAAAAAAAAACGTTCTTAGTTTGAAAATGTCTGAAAAATATCCCAAGAATGGTTAAAAATTCGAAATTTTCAACTTTTTTCCTACTAAACCCAAAAGTCGGAAATTTCCTAATTCGCTCCAAAACAAAAAACAATATTTAAAAAAAAAGTACAAAATTTGCTTGAATGCCTCTTTAGAAAAAACGGGATTAGTTTCCAAATTTCCAAAAAACTTCCTGAGGATGGCCAAAATGCGAAACTTTCAGCATAATTTATTCAACTTTTGCGTATAAAATCCAAAAGACTTCCACTTCCTACCTCGACTGAAAGCAAAGAAATATATTTTTTTTATATTAAATTTGCATAAATGCCCCTTCTGAAATTCTGAAAATTCTGAAAAAGATTTGAACCTTTCAGAGTAGATTCCTTTGACTTTTGCATACAAAATCCAAAAATCCCCAATTTCTCAACTCGTCCCAAAACAAAAAAACAATTTGTTAAAAAGTACACAATTTGCAAGAATGCCTCTTGAAACAAAAGCGCGCTCAGTTTGGAAAATTGTAAAAAATTTCCTGAGAATGGCCAAGATTCGAAACTTTCAGTGTAATTTGTTTCAACTTTTGTCTACAGAATCCAATAGTCGACTATTTCCTAACTCATCTCAACACAAAGAAATGGATTTTTAAAGAAAACGTGGAGAATGTGCCGAATAGCGCTTAAGAAAAACGCGGCTTGGTTTGGAAATTTAAAAAAATGTCTGAGTATGGTTAAAACTTCGAAACTTTTTGCCTAATTTCTTGCAACTTTTGCCTACAAACGTCAAAAGTCGGCAGTTTCCTAAGTCATCACAAAGAAAAAACGACAAGATTTCCATGAATAAGACTTTAAAAATCGCGCTTTGGTTTGAAAAATTCTGGAAAATTTTCTGAGAATGGCCAAAATTCGAAACTTTCAGTATAATTTATTACAACTTGCCTACAAGTCCAAATGGCGGCCACTTCCTAGCTCGACGGAAAGCAAAGAAATAATTTTTTTTAAAGGACTAAATTTCCAAAATGCCCCTTAAAAAAAACCATGCTTAGTTTGAACAATTCGAAAAAAGTTTCGAAACTTTCAGAGTAGAATCTTTCGACTTTTAAAACCAAAACAAAAAAACATTTTTTTGAAAAGTACAAAATTTGCAAAAATGCCTCTTGAGAAAAAAACGCGCTGTTTGAAAAATTCTAAAAAACTTCCTGAAAAAGGCCAAAATTCGAAACTTCCAGTTTAATTTATTTCGACTTTTGCCTACAGAATCCGAAAGTCGACAATTTCCTAACTAATCCCAACGCAAAGAAATTAATTTTTAAAGAAAAAAATGGAGAATGTACCGAATAGCGCTTAAGAAAAACGCGACTTGGTGTGGAAATTAAAAAAAAAATGTCTGAGTATGGATAGGAATTCGAAACTTTCCATCTAATTAATTGCAACTTTTGCCAACAAAAGTCAAAAGTCGGCAGTTTCTTAAGTCATCTCAAAGAAAAAAAAACGAAAAGATTTGCATAAATAGAGCTTCAAAAAATCGCGCTTTGGTTTGAAAAATTCTGGAAAATTTTCTGAGAATGAACAAAATTCGAAACTTTCTTTGAACTTTGCGTTACAAAAAACAAAAATGGCCGCTTTCCTATCTCATTTCGCAGCGAAAATATTACAGTTTTTAGGAAAAATTGCGCAATTGGCATCTCTGGAAAAATCCGCGGTTTGGTTTGAAAAATTCTGGAAAATGATCAACACCCGCATAATTTACTTCGATTTTTACCCAGCAGAAAGCCAAAAATCTCTACTTTTCCCAGTTCAAACGCAAACAAAACAGATGCACAAAAGTTGCTCCAAAAAAAGAGAAACTTTCAGTTGCGCCTGACCAAAACTTTGAAGTGCTTCAAAAGTTTTAAGGAGCGACCAAACATTAAAATTTTCTCCGGTCCAGGTTTAGCCACGACGGTGGAAAGCTACAAGTGTCCCAGAATATTGTCCAAATTCTATATAAACGGACTGCAGGCTGATTTTCCAGCAAAAGAAAAACTCAAAAGCCTGACCTACGCTTTCAAGTTGGACTATATTAAAAAAATTCTCACGCCCAAACTGGGGCGACTAGAGACTTGAAATTTTGTCCAGTTCTGACCAACTTTAGTGGCTATAAATGGCACAAATTTCGACCAAACCGGGCTCCAGGCTGATTTTCCGGCCAAAGACAAACTTGCAGAGCCTGACCAAAACTTTCAAGTTGGGTCGTATTTAGCCCTTTTTTATCTTAATAATAATATCTAATTTGCCCGTTACGCACATTTATCAAGCACACTTGACTCTACATAATTGGGAAGTTGAAAAACCATCAGAGGATGAACGATGTTTTCCAATAGCCCCAAAGTTCCAGCTACGACCGGCCAAAGTTGGCACACTTTCAAAAATGCCTCTCTCCTAAAGCAGACGCGACATATTTTCTTGCAGATAAAGCCGATTATTCACTGTTCAAACCAATTCAATTGGTGGATGAACGAGTCAAAGAACTAACTTCAAACTCCCAAATAAAGCGGAAAAATAAACGAAATCAAACTCCAGGGTGTTTTTCCAATAGGTCCGTGGGGTAACTTCTCCAGCCCAAACTTACCCGGGATAAAGAAGAACCAGCAAACTTCTGGCAATATTCTCATTGGTGTACCCCATTTGAATCAAATACTCATAATTGGCCTGGATATCGACGAAAGGCACGTAGTAGTAGAAGGGATGCTTGCGCAACCGGGCACGAACTTCTTCCTTGGGCTTCTTCAGCAACGCGCTGAAATAGTCCATAACATCAGAAATTCTATTCATGTCCCGGCCCTCTTGTATGTAGTCTTCAAACTTGCTGTCGTCCGGTTTGGCTGGAAGAAGCAGCAAAAACCCGGATTTTATCAAATTTTCCCCAAATTAAACTCACCGATGTGATTCAAGCTGGCGCATCTGAGTTTCAGTTTCTTCAAAAATCCCAGCCGACTCGACATGGTTTTGTGATGAATGACCATGTTTAACATTCTGTAATCGTTGAAGTTCACGCGCAGCTCGGGGGTTTGCTTAATGTGATCCAGGCGCTGCTTCAGAGTAAACGGGCTCATCGTAAACACGGAGGGCCGCGTCTGGATGGCTTCGTCCGAAATGTTGTATTCCTTCAGCAGCTTGAAAATTTCCAAAATTTTCCGTGGGTTGATCATCATCAGCTTCGGGTTGGTTCTGTAGTAGGCCGCAATGTTCACTCCGGCCAGAATCGGATGGTCTCTGAGCATGGTCTTCGGATACTCTGGATAGGTGTTCAGCAAGTATCCAGATCTGAGTATCTTCCGGTTGCTGATCCCGATGGACTCAGCCAAAGTGATGTTTTCATTGATGATCCGAAAACTCTTGTTCGCTATCATTTTGTGGACGCGCAGCAGGTTGATTATCTCGTCTTCTGAGGTCTTCAGCCGCACTTCTATTTATTAGAACGGAAGAGAACTGAAGCAGTTAGGAAGAGTCTCAGTGATTTTTTGATCGCCAACGTACGTAACCATGCAGTTAAAATAGTTCGATGCAACGCAGTCCACTTCATCTCATCGATTTCCTTCAGGCTCTGTTCCAGAGGAATCGAAGATCGGCTGCTGGGGGGCTGCAGCAACTCCAGTAGCCGATCGGCTACATTGACATCAGGCTCCAAATACCCATCTTGCTTTAGTGTGGCGATTTTGTTTCGGAAATAGTACGAAGCTCTGCACATGAACACGAAAGGGAGTCATCTGAACCCCAACGGCCAGGCCGGAATCAACAATTTACCTACATAATAGTCTCGCATCGATTGGGCTGCAGCCGGTGTCCAGTAGACTGTTGTAATGGTTGAATTTTGCTACCGGATGGCTTATGAGCAAACTGGGGTAGGCTAGAAAGTCGCTGTTGGTGAAACCAAGCCGTTTGTATAGGTGGTAAGAGTCGATGAGATCTTCGGTTTCTTTCTTACGCCAAATAGCCGGATTCTCCATTAATCGGAAAATTTCTTCCTTGGTGAAACCTGCAATGTAGGTGGAAAAATGTTGAAACAGAAAATATTGATTCGAAAATTCGTTCAAAAATTAGTCTAAATTTGCAAATTCCAAAAACCATCTTTCAGAGCATCGATTCTCCTAAGCAACACCTGGGACAGTTCGAGGTTTTCTCAGAAAAAAAAATATCTATAAAAGGCCAAAAATATACTTTTGCGCGTGAGTTTATTGAGATCAACACAGCTTTTGATCTAAGCGCCTCTATATTCGCTAAGTGTTTGAGTCTACAATAATATAATAATACAGAATAATAATAATGTAATGTTTCTTTGTTCCTCATTATTGTTATATTTAGTTGAGTTGTAAATGTTGTTAATTCTTCGCTTTATTATTGGTTCAGAAAATTTTTTTGGGTAGTTATTAATAAGGAATATTTTTCTGATTTTTTTTTCAATTTCCTTGGTAATTTGGGTCTGATAATTTTATAGCTCTATCTGTAAGTGCAGTTATTACGCTTTTTTATATTTTTGGGGTGCATATGAATTATAGTTTAAATATCTTCCKGACCAAACTTCTTTTGTGTACCAATTTGTTTTTATTTCACCTGAATTATCATAATTTGCTGTTATGTCTAAAAAATGTATTGATKGATTTTTATCCTTTYCTATTGTAAATTTTATAGTGTCGTGAACATTGTTGAATTTATCTAAGGGATATTGAACTTTATCTTTAGGTAAACACATTAGGCAATCATCTACATAGCGCTTAAAGAAAGTTGGTTTATAATTTAGGCTTGTCATTATGTTTTTTTCCAAGTTTTCCATAACAAGGTTTGCAATTGTCGCTGATACGGGGAAACCCATACCATTGCTACACACACACCGTGAATAATTTGTGAATAATATTTGTTTTCCAACTTGAAATATGTAGATTTTAGGCATAGTTTTACCGCTTCAATAAATTATTTTTCTGGAATTGTTGTATGTTGTTCGATTTCCTTCCATTTATTTCTTATACATTCGATTACATATTCAATTGGGATATTGGTATATAATGATAATAATAATAATATAGTATAATACAGAAAATATTAGTCGGTTAAAGATCGAAAAACCGCTAAAAACGGGTCTAAATTGTCCGTTTTCTCGAATTGAAAATTTCAAAAACGATTTTTCAAGTTTGAAAAGTTTTTAGGAGAAAATCGCCTACCGAAGGCAAAAAATCGACTTTTTGCATGCCAGTTTATTGAGCTCAAAAGAAAGAGAGTTTGCGTCTATAAAACAGGAAATATTGACGCTTAAAGATAAAAAAACCCGCTCAAAAGTAAGTGTAAATTTTCTCGATTTGCAAATTTCAATAACAATCTTTTCGGTATAATAACGGTTCGACTTTTTTTAGAAAAGATCGACAACAGAAGTAAAAAAATCTACTTTTTGCATGTGAGTTTATTGAGCCCAAAACAGGTTTCCACTTAAATTTTCCGTTTTCTCGAATTACGAATTTCAAACACTATTTTTCAAAGCGTCGATTTGCCTAAGCAACATTGGGAACAGTTTGAGTATTTTTTTCGAAAAAATCATCTACAGAAGGGAAAATCGACATTTTTCAGGCCAGTTCATTGAGCTTAACACAGCTGTCGACCTAAAAAGCGCCCCCATTTTCACACATTGAGTGTTTGCGTCTATAATACAAAAAACATTGTCTGTTAAAGGGCGAAAAACTGCTAAAAAATTAGTGTAAATGTTCCGTTTTCTCAAATTACGAATTTTAAACATTTTAAACATTGAGAACAGTTCGAGTTTTTTCGAAAAAATCGCCTACAGACCAGCAAAAATCGACTTTTTTCATGCCAGTTTATTAAGCTCAAAGCAAAGAGTGTTAGCGCCTATAAAAGAGAAAATATTGACGGTTAAAGGGCGAAAAACCGCTCAATAGTTGGTCCAAATTTTTCATTTTTCTCGATCTTCAATAACTATCTTTCAAAGCATCGATTTGCCTCCGCAACACTTGGAACGATTCGAGTTTTTTTAGAAAAAATCGACTACAGAAGTATAAAAATCTACTTTTCGCATGTGAGTTTATTGAGCTCAACACAGCTGTCGACCCAAAAAGTGCCCCTATTTTCAGACATTGATTGTTTGTGTCCATAATACAAAAATAGTGTCGTCTAAAGCTCGAAAAACTGTTAAAAAATTGGTCTAAATTTTACGTTTTCTCGAATTACGAATTTCGAGCATTATTTTCCCTAGCCTAAGGAACATTGGGAACAGTTCGAGTTTTTTTAGAAAAGATCGCCTACAGAAGGACAAAAATCGACTTTTTTCATGGCAGTTTATGGAGCTCAAAGCAAAAAGTGTTTACGTGTATAAAACAGAAAATATTGACGGTTAAAGATAGAAAAACCACTCAGAAATTAGTCTAAATTTTCCATTTAGTCGATTTACAAAATTCATAATCTGTCTTTCAAAGCATAGACTTGCTTACGCTATAAATAGTTGAGTTTTTTAGAAAAAAGCGTCTACAGACGGCCAAAAATCAAGTTTTTGCATTCGAGTTTATTGAGGTCAATGTATAGTTTTCGACCTAAGAAGCGCCTTTATCGTCACCCATAGAGTGTGATCGAAAAATACATGAAAAAGTGTTTAAATTTTCTATTTTCTCAAATCTAAAGACAACACGTTCTATGCCAATCTATTGACCGACTTTCAAATTTGGCAAACTACCTTTTGGAACCTTGATTTGCATGCTTAACACCTGCAATAATTCAAGTTTTTTCCGAAAAAAAAACAAAGAATGTTTGAATCTATAAACCGTTCAAAAATGAGTCTAAAATTTTCATTTTTCTCAATCTACAATTACTGTCTTTCAAAGCATCGATTTGCCTACGCAACACTTGGAACGATTCGAGCTTTTTTCGAAAAAATCGACCACAGAAGTATAAAAATCTACTTTTCGCATGTGAGTTTATTGAGCTCAACACAGCTGTCAATCTAAAAAGTGCCCCTATTTTCACACATTGAGTGTTTGCGTCCATAATACAAAAACATTTTCGGCAAACTGTTAAAAAATAAGTCAAAATTTTCCGATATCTACGAATTTCAAACACTATTCTTGAAAGCATGGATTTGCCTAAGCAACATTGGAAACAGTTCAAGTCTTTTTCAGAAGAATCGCTTACGGAAGCCCAAAAATCGACTTTTTTATGCCAGTTTATTGAGCTCAAAACAAAGAGTGTTTGCGTCTATAAAACAGAAAATACCGACGATTAAATAGCGAAAAACCGCTCAAAAATGGGTCAACCATTTTCATTTTTCTCGATCTACAATAACTACCTTTCAGAGGATAGTTTTGCCTCCACAACACTTGGAACGATTCGAGTTTTTTTAGAAAAAATCGACTACAGGACTCTAAAAATATACTTTTTATTAAGTTAACTAATTACTAACTAAATTATTGGATTATATTAACGACACTTTTCGCCCTTGTATCGAAAAATACTATTTCGCATGTGAGCTTATTGAGTTCAATGTATAGTTTTCGACATAAGAAACCTCTTTATGTTCACCCATAGTGTTTGCGTCTTTAACAAGAAAAAAATGGTTATTTAAAGATAGAAAAATCCTTCAAAAATGTTTAAATTTTCCATTTTCTCAAATATAAAAATAAAGCGTTCTATGCCAATCTATTGTCCGATCTTCAAGTTTGGAAAACTACCATTTAGATTTGACCTACTCTACTCTACTAATTTGAGACTACCTTGATTTGCATGCTTAACACTTGGAATCATTCATGCAGAGCCTGATAAAACATTTAAATGAGTTCTTCATGCCGTTTCCTCCATATAAAAGAAAACAGGGTTTTGCAGCCTCCCAATCTTACCCCATTGCACGGAGCCTGTATTTACCGGTTGGAAGCCCAAGTTGCCACTTTAATTATTTAAATAAATGACTAACACAACAGACAAAGACGAAAATCTCTTACCATATAATTCCTTCAGCGTTTCGATGTTTGAGCCCGCATAGTTGCATACTGCTGAATGTTTTCTCGCTATCGAACTCACTGTTACGTTGAAACAACGAAAATTTAGTATTTTAACGAACAACATTAGGAAAAAAACCATTTAAATATAAACAAAAACAAAATACCTAACCTAAGTGTCAAAAGTGACGTTAGTGATACTGCTGGATTAGCGCCCCCTCTGAGACCGAGTGTTGGTACTACTAAGAAAGGGATCCTCAATGAGGACTAAAGTGAGGCCCAGCTCTATTTTCTAACCGCCTTGAGCAGTTCAGTTAATGACATTTCTAAGGGTTGAGAGTTTGCGGTTATGTTTTTAATGTTTTTCGGTTTTTTTTTTCATTTTCGTCCTAATTATCCCTTAGAGTGTTCCAAAATAGCCTGCTTTCAAAGTGTCCTCTATAGGTATATTGTTAGAGAGTAACAACAACTTTTTTCTGCAACTTTAATTAACTTTCTGTTATCTTAAAAGTAGGCAGTAGAGCTGGAAATTTCGGGTTTTTTTTCAAAATTTGACCAGACAACACTTGGAAATTACATTAAATGTTGCGTCTGCCCCCATAGGACGTTGCCAGGTTTGGAAAATTTACAGTTTTCACTTGACTGCGTTCCAAACTTCTCCTTAGCTTGTGTCTTCTTGTGGGGTCGCTAGCAAGTTGATTGCTCAAAGTGGCTTACAAAGGCAAATTAATACGAAAACTTTGCTTTGATTCAAATCCTAGAATCTCTCTGCGTGCCAACTCATTTTGCAATCGAACAGCTGCGTTCCCAACTCTTGGTACTTCCCCCATTTCTCCAGGGGAAACCCGCTTAAACTATTAGCGAAGTAATTCAGTTTTTCTGTCCGCTTTCCCTAGACATAATGGCCTTTACGAGGGAACTCAAAGAGGCGCAAGCTTCTCTTCGAGGCAAAATAACCGAGCGGCGAAAAGCCTTGGAAACCCTCATAGCTCTCCTGAAGAATGAAGAAGTTATCGCTTGTATAGATGAAGACAATCACATCACGTGGAAAGCGCTACTAGAGAGCATTCAGACCTGCTTGAAGACAGTGAGTTGATTAAGAAACGAGTAATTAAAACTGAGTTTTGCGGGCTTTTATGCCGTCGGGGAAAGCAGTTTTTCCTTTCGCACGCACTTCCATCGTCAGATGCGGTGGATGCGGGAAAGGCTTTAAAAACTTGAAAAACTCGCCAGTATTTTTTCTTTTTGACAATTTTTTTAATTAGGAATGCGACCGGATAGCGGGTCTAATTGCCAAGAAAGGACCCTTGAAAAGCCCCGATAAAAACGTCGAGCTTTCCATTGAACTGGTGGCGTTGGTTGCGAAAATTGCGCTCCCTAAAGGTTTAATAATTTTTATTTCTTTAATTATTCATTCAAATATTTGCCGCTTTTCTCGGGTGCATAGAAGCAGAAATAAGCATTTCCAGCTTCATCAGCTACATTGAAGCATGCTTGCGCGACCGAACAATGCGATGCTGCAAAGACACGTTTCTTCGCATGATTAAGGACTACATTCTATCCAGTAAAGACTGTTTGGGCGCTTTGGAGCCGGAAGATTTTGTATGTGAGTATCTTCACTTTTTCTTCAATTAGAGAACGTGTTAATGTCTTGATATTTCAGTGCTTTTTGAGATCCTGCGAACCGAGCTGAATCAAACGAGTTCTGAGTCGAAAAATCTGATTGTCTTTAGCAGTTTTGCGCTGCTGGTGAGGTTTGGGCCTTTGGTCGCATTTCCAGCCAATTTTCTTCGGGATCAGTTTGCGTTTGTCGCCAAATTGGGCCAATCGGTCACGCTAAACGACTCACGAATTTTGCAGGAAGATGCAATCGATATTGTTCTGCATTTTTGCCAACATGTAAGCGCCTTTTTCAAGTTGAACGGCTCTGTGAATAAATCATCTCTCTTTCAGACTGCGGAAGATAATCGGTTATCGTGCATCAAATTAGGGGAAGAAATTGTTCCGAAGTTCGCCAATCTGTATGATTCTTGTAGACCGGACGCGCTGAAGGCAAGTAGACACAAAGGGCTGAAGATCTGTTTTTCTACTGAGAACATTTCCAGGTGAAACTCATCGAATTCTTCCTGCTTCAATTGGTCCTGCATAATCCGAATGGAGTGTTGGAAAACGACAGTCAAGCCCTGGCAAATAAATGGACCACTTGGAAGTCCTGCATAATAAAAATCTACCATTTGCTGCTGGCGGAAATCCATCAATATCTGCGACAGCCAGTGAAGAATACGCAATTCTTTACATGCACTGAAGATAACACTGTGATAAAGGATAGTTTTGCGTTGTTGTTTGTGGAAACTTGCAACCAGGTTGGGATGGATCGGCCCTGAAACTGCGCGATGATTGAAAACTCTACTTAATTGCAGTTGTTTAGTTACACGGAGCTTCCTGCCTACTTATGTGAGGATTTCCAGCCGGAAAAGCGGAAGCGAATAGAAGTTTCCCTAGAGACTTTCATTGCGAAAATTCAGGACACCAACAGTTGGGTTTGGTAAGCCACTTTGCTGGTCAAAAACTTCAAAGCATTAAACCGGTTGCTTTCCAGGGTGAAGCTCGTCGGGGCTCTTCTGCAAAAATACCCTCAGCTGATCGATAGAGCGCTGTTTTTCCAGCTTCTGCAAGTTTTGCATACCAAGCAGTTGGAAGTTAGAGACAACAACACCATTCGGTGCATCTATGAAATGCAGGCTATTCTTCTGGATATCGAAGAAAGGCTGGAAGCGAGCGACCAAAAGGAAACCTTAAATTTATGGACGTTGGTCGGCGATTCAACTTTAAGGTAAATTGGAGGACGATATTCATGTGCGTTAAAGGTGGGAAAAGCGCGAATTTTTTCCCTCATTGGTTTGTGGTGAGGAATGCACATTTATTTAGGGTTTTTTTAGTATTTACAAAGTGATTTACTTAGGTTTGGTCGCCATTTTCTAACCTCTATAAAGATAGGAGCCAAAAAGTGATTCATTCGCCAACGGTCAGGAATATGATTTGAGGGATAACGACGATTTCGATAGGGTGCATTGAGAGCTATTTTTTGCCTATTAGGATTGAGTCAAAACAGGTCAAACTAACTGAAAATTTATTAGGGCTTTTTCGATAGAGCATCTCAAGGTCTCCCGTTTACATTGATCAGAATCTCTTATCCTGTGTGAAGTGCTGAAGAAAAAGCAAGAAAACAAAATAAATTGCGGAGACGACAGAAAATAGATGATAAATTGAAATAACAAGTTTGATCCATCGTTTCGAAAAGTGTTGCTTCTTTGGGGGGATGTAACTGAATTTCTAACCTAAAACAAGAGTTAAAGTTTGATAATTTATGGTACATTTTCATTAATATTGTTGTATGTAACAGTTGAAATTATTTGTTTGAAAAATTTCACTTTTCTGATAAATCGTCTTAAAAGCCGCCGTTGGAACGTGTTTTTTTAATGTCTAACCTCCAAACAGGAGAAAGCAAAATTTAGAAAATATATCGAAAACGGTCCAAAATATTCCGTCGGTCAGAAGGATCATTTTTATGGAGCGGTTCAAGATAAATATATTCTCCTTCAGGAAATTAGCAAAATTTATAACCTCGAAAGAGATACACCCGAAATTTAAAGAAATCTACTACATTTCCCTAATTCCTAACCCCAAAAAACTGAGAAGCAAAAATTAGAAAACAGCTTGTATCTCGGAAGCAGCTAAAAATGCCCGATTGATTGTTGGAACCATTTCGCCAGAGCGAGTCGAAAGTCATCTTTTCTTCCTTAAGGTTGGAACAAAATTTCTAGCCTCAAAAGAAGTAAACCTTAACCTTAACATTTTTTTCCATGTATATTAATGTCTCAGAAACACTTGAATCGATCTGAACACTCGTTAGAATTATTTTATTCGAGCGCTTCCAGGTCTATATTTTCTCCCTTAGTTCTCCCATGTTTAGCAAAGTCGAAACAGACACTCGTAAAATGTTATGCTTTCTCTTGCATTTCTGCTTGGAAACGGTTGAAGCTCTCTGGAGGGCGACCTTTTATCGGACATTTCTAACCTCTAAAACCATAGAAGCAAAAAGAAGAAAAAACTGCCAATATCTCGGAAACGATTGAAAATATCTGATCATTTTTTTGAAAGCCATAAGCATTTTGAAAGCCGTAATTTCTTCCTCAGGGTTGTAGCCAAATTTCTAACCTCAAATAAGCTATAAATTATTGTTCATTTTCCGTAATATCTCAGAAATGGTTCAAACGATTTGAATAACCCTTAGGACCTTTCCAATTGAGTATATTTAGATCTGCATGCTTCCGTGATTCCTAACCTCTAAAAAGACAGTAGCAAAAACACGTCATTTCTAGAAAGCCATTTCAGATCTGTTATTTCTCCTGAACGAGTTTCTCCCAAGGATTTTTCCAGATTTCTATAAATATCTAGGGATCCAAACCGCCAGATTAACCATTAGAGCACAAGAACCATCGTTTGCTACATCGGTTTGATGCGATATTCTCAACCTCTAAATAAATGTATGTTAAAGTCATGCTCTCAGGGCAGCACATAAAAGTCGTCAATTCGTTAGTGAGTTCATTTAGCACTAATTAAGGAAACGGACCAGAACTTATGGGCTTCGCCCTGTAAAACAGAGAGTAATTAAAAATTAGTCACAATTAACACAGCCAAATTAAGCGTACAAACCCGTAAAGAAGCCCTTAAAAAATTTGAAAGTAATTATGTAGAATATATAGAGGGTGTCCCAAAGAAAGACTGCCAATTTCGCTTTTAATAATGATTATTTCAGGGCAGTTGGTTTGAACCATCACATCAAAGAGACCCAACATCTGCTCAGAAAGCTGATCTGCCGACAAATCATTAAGGTGGAATCTGTGATACAAACCTACACTTCGGGAGTGTTAATCACCACTGAACATCACTTGGCCACTCTTCAGCTGGTGCTGGAGTTTACCAACCCTTCGCAGTTGCCATTATCCAGAAAACAGGAGCTGGTTAACAGTCTGCTGAATGTGCCAAATATAAAGAACTTTAGATGTCTGTTGAAGAGGAACTTTGCGGAAGTGCTAGTCGGTTTAACTCTAAAACACTGTCCGGACTATGAAAGGGAGGAAGCGAGCGCACAAGACGGTTCGATGTGCGTTTATGGAACACTGGCGGCGCTTTTTGCTAAAAGCACCTTCAACCTGGAGCAGATTCTGATCAGGGCGCCCGCCCTGAAAGCGCCCACTAAGAGGAGCTTTAATACCGACAGCGCCGCACTGGAGATTCTTCTGAAGAAACTCAACGCTTTCGTCGATAGTGTTTATTCGGAATCAACCGATAAACTCTTTTGCGCTGTGGGACTTCTCTACAACGTCGCCAGCTGCATGATTGACTATCAAGTGCTCCAAGAAGATCAGCTGCAAACCAGCACGGTCTTCAGCTTGATTAACCGCGTTTTAAGCAATGAGAACACGCAGTCTTTTCAAAGGTTCCAGGTGCACAGCGGCAGCGCCCTTAAACAGCTTCAAGCAATCGCTCTAATTCTGGACGACGTGTTCTCGATCAACAACAGTGTCACCCAACAGGTTAAGGAGCTGTTTTCCTTCAACTTTCTTAAGGAAATCCTGCAGGTTCTTCAGTTTTTCCAGGAGGATTCCCCGAAAAAAGCCGATACCGCCCACAAAGTGAAGAAACTACTAGTCGGCGCTCTATCCAAGTATTGCCTGGTGTCGAATTCGGTGGAAACCGCCGAACACCAGCCGCATATTGCGGAAATATTAGCCGACCAAGACTACGACTTTAAGAACGACAGCCATTGCGAAATGAGCGTGGTTTTCCTGCAAAATGTGAAACTGGCACCACCAGGAGTGTTGTCCGAGGACATCATTCGCAAAATTCTTGAGTGTCTGCAGGGGCTTTGCCGAGCAACCTACCGACACCACGAAAGTGCGGTCACAATTCTCAATATCCTCGCAGGTCTTTTTCAACACTTGCAACATGCCAGCGCAGACCTGAAAAGCGCCGCAGTTAATGTGCTTTATACGTTTTATCTTCGCCAGTCGTATTATGGGCCCGATGTTCTCATAGCACTGCTGGATGCCATTGAAGAGCTTTGCACGGTAAGGTTGTATTCATTTGCTAAATAGTCCCGAAAATTGCAAAGAAGTTGCTATCAAACGTTTTTCTATTTGGTACATTTTCATAGGTATCTCGGAAACGGTTCGAACTATTTAAAAAACCATTGATCTTGTCTGTTGCTTTGATCAGACATTCCTAACCTCTGAAAGGACAATAGCAAAAAAAGGAAATACGCTAAATTGGTCTTAGGAACTAGCCATTTTTGAGGCGCACTTTTACGCAAAATTGACCCCAATTTTGTTGAATTCTTGTATATTTTTGTTTATATCTGAAAATGAGTCGAATTTTTTTCGATAGAGCGTCTGAAGTGCTGCCTTTGTTCTTGATCAGAAATTTTAACCTTTAAAAAAATAGAACCGAAGTAGGAAAACTGTTTATATCTCGGAAACGATCGAAAATATCTGAGCCGTTTTAGGACCGAACTATTTTTAAAGAGCGCTTCTAACTGCGTATTTGAAATTCGAATTTTTGCCCAATTTCTTGCTTTTAAAGCGATTGACGCCGATATTGTCGAATTCTAATACTTTTGCATTTATATGAGGAAAATGAGTCAATCTACCTCAATAGTTAGGGCCTTTTCGATAAAGCATCTGAAGTTCTGCTTTTGTTCTTGATTCAAATTTTTAACCTCTAAGAAGTGAGAGCCAAAAATACGAAAATCTATTGTATTTCGGACAGAGTCGATTATATCTGAATCTGCCTGCTATCGAAACGTTTCGGCGTTCCAGAGCATTTTTTTCTCCCTTAGTAGTTAACAAGATTTCTCACCTGAAAGGGCTAAAACCGAAGTCTGATGATTTGTTGTACATTTGTTTTTATATCTGGGAAACGATTGAACGTACCCGAATAATCGTTAGAGCCTTTTTGATCGAGCATTCCAAGAGCTGCCTCTCGCCGTAATCAAAAATTCCTCACCTTTAAAAAGGCAGAAGCAATTAAATAAAACCGTTTGTCTCTCGCCAACCGCCAAAATGCCATTTAAGGCGCGTTTCTAATTTTCTCTTCATGAAGGCATTTTCGATGGATCAGCTTCAGAACTGCCTTTTGCTTGATCAGCAATGTTTAACCTCTAAAAAGAGAGAAGCAAAAATAAGATCTCGGAATTAGAGTGTTTTCAAATTCTATACGTTTCGAAGTTTCCAGAACATTTTTTCGCCCTTAGTAGTTAACCAGATTTCTAACCTGAAATGGGATAAAACCGAAGTTTGATGATTTGTTGTAGATTTATTTTTATATCTCGGAAACCATTGAACGTACCCGAATAATCGTTCGAACCTTTTCGATCGAGCATTCCAAAAGCTGCCTTTTGCCAGAATCAAAAATTCCTAACCTTTAAAAAGACAGAAGCAATCAACTAAACCGTTTGTCTCTCGCCAGCCGCCAAAATCTAATCGGTCGATAAAACAAGCCATTTAAGGCGCCTTTGTAATTTTCTCTTCATTGGGGCATTTTCGATGGTCAGCTGCAGAACTGCCTTTTGCCTTGATCAGACATGTTTAACCTCTAAAAAGAGAGAAGCAAAAATAAATACCCGAATAATCGTTCGAACCTTTTCGGTCGAGCATTCCAGAGCTGCCTTTTGCCATAATCAAAAATTCCTAACTTTTAAAAATACAGAAGCAATAATGTAAAACCGTTTATCTCTCGCCAGCCGACAAAATCTTATCGGTCGATAAAACAAGTCATTTAAAGCGCGTTTCTAATTTTTACTTCATTAGGGCATTTTCGATGGATCAGCTGCAGAACTGCCTTTTGCCTTGATCAGAAATGTCTAACCTCTAAAAAGAGAGAAGCAAAACTAAGATCTCGGAATTAGAGCGTTTCCAAATTCTATACGTTTGAACATTTTCAGAACATTTTTCCTCCCTTAGTAGTTAACAACATTTCTAACCTGAAACGGGATAAAACTGAAATTTGATGATTTGTTGTACATTTATTTTTATATCTTGGAAACGATTGATTGTACCCGAATAATCGTTAGAACCTGTTCAATCGAGCATTCCTAGAGCTGCCTTTCGCCATAATCAAAAATTCCTAACCTTTAAAAAGACAAAAGCAATCAAATAAAACCGTTTGTCTCGCGCCAACCGCCAAAATCTGATTGGTCGATAAAACAAGCCATTTAAAGCGCGTTTCTAATTTTCTCTTTATTAGGGCATTTTCGATCGATCAGCTTCAGAACTGCCTTTTGCTTGATCAGAAATGTTTAACCTAAAAAGAGAGAAGCAAAAATAAGATCTCGGAATTAGACTGTTTCCAAATTCTATACATTTGGACGTTTCCAGAACATTTTTTCTCCCTTAGTAGTTGACCAATTTTCTAACCTGAAAGGGGATAAAACCGAAGTTTGAAGATTTTTTGTGCATTTATTTTTATCTCGGAAACGATTTAATATACCCGAATAATCGTTCGAACCTTTTTGGTCGAGCATTCCTAGAGCTGCCTTTCGCCATAATCGAAAATGCCTAACCTTTAAAAAGACAGAAGCAATCAAATAAAACCGTTTGTCTCTCGCCAACCGCCAAAATCTGATCGGTCGATAAAACAAGCCATTTAAGGCGCGTTTCTAATTTTCTCTTTATTAGGGCATTTTCGATCGATCAGCTTCAGAATTGCCTTTTGCCTTGCTCAGAAATGTTTAACCTCTAAAAAGAGAGAAGCAAAAATAAGATCTCAGAATTAGAGCGTTTTCGAATTCTATACGTTTGGACGTTTCCAGAACATTTTTTCTCCCTTAGTAGTTATCAAGATTTCTAACCTGAAAGGGGATAAAACCGAATTTGGATGATTTTTTGGACATTTATTTTTATATCTCGGAAACGATTGAATGTACCCGAATAATCGTTAGAACCTGTTCAATCGAGCATTCCTAGAGCTGCCTTTCGCCATAATCAAAAATTCCTAACCTTTAAAAAGACAGAAGCAATCAAATAAAACCGTTTGTCTCGCGGCAACCGCCAAAATCTGATCGGTCGATAAAACAAGCCATTCAAAGCGCGTTTCTAATTTTCTCTTCATTAGGGCATTTCCGATGGATCAGCTTCAGAATTGCCTTTGGCCTTGCTCAGAAATGTTTAACCTCTAAAAAGAGAGAAGCGGAAATAAGATCTCGGAAATAGAGCGTGTTCCAATTTGTCTTTTCTACTTTGGAAGTTGAGCACAATTTTTAACCCCTGGAATTTGATGAATTTGTGCGCATTTCTATTCATATTTCGGGAACAGTTGAAACTACTCGAACAATGACTAGAACCTTTTCGAACATTTTTTTTTTCGTTGTATTCGAAACTCTTAAGTCATGCTCTTAGCTCGATGAGAGAATCCTTTGCAATTTTTCTTCAGTTGCAAACAATTGGGGATGCTTTAGATCATATGAGCATGACTGAAAACCCAAAGCCGAAAATGCAAAGACCGGGAGAATATATTCAATGAAAGGGATTTTCGGGCACTAAAATATCTTAATATATTCAATCTCTAGCAACATTAAATGGGTTTCAGATGGACGTAGACTGTTGCAGCTCTCAATGGGATGGCAATCCAGTGATCAAGCACGTTCCTGACTTTTTGTCCAGCAACTTCCAAAGAGTTCGCTATAGAGCTGTCGCTCTATTGGTGAACTACTTGAAAATCTCGGCTGGGACCACGCGACTTTCCACCATTCATCTATCCGAGGAACTTTTCAGCTTAATTTATGAGCGGGTTTGTAGTTCTTTGAAGGCACTTTTTGCTTGTTTTGTTTCAAGTGCTTGCGTTTTTCAGAATAGTCAAGTGTTTGAAGTCACGGACAGTTTGAGCGAGGAAAGACTTCAAGAAGAAATCGCTGGTCGCGCGTCCTCCGCTTTGTACACTTTTTTGGCCATTATTGTCAACTGCAATAACTGGATTGAGGAGTCAGTGCTGGCGATTATCAGGTTGGAGCACTCCAAAGGTCTGGGCAGGCTTTTCAATGGAGGTAATATTTAAAAAAATTGAAGGGTTTTGAATGATCACAAGCTTCTTGGTCTGTTTATGCTTAAAGTTACAAATCCAGTTTTCCTGAGCAATCAAATACACTGTTGTCAAATTTCTGATTGGGTTTTTGGCCAATATCTCAGTTTTTCCTGCGAATTGTTATCGTTAGCTATTTTTTCCACTTTCCCTAAGTACTTCTAGAGAAATATCGATAATTTTGCACAAAATCCTACGAAATTTCGCAGAGTTAATAGCCAAAGTGCTGAAAACCCTACAGGAGCATTTCGGGTCAGATGACTTTGTAAAAACCTACATGGACCGCATTCTGAGCAACTGGCTCGAGCTTGGCTACAAGATCGACGATTTCCAGTTCAGAATGTTGGGGTGTTCGGATAAAGCCGAGCTTTATGCCAAACATCTCCATGTTTGCTTGCCGTTGCTGCTTCAGAAGGACCAGCACGATCTTTTTGCTGCGGCGAAACTGCTGGGAATGACCGAAACTGACGCTTTGGAGGTATGAATGAGGTTTTTACAGTTGAATTTTAAGAATTTTAGGTTCTTTCCTTTAGCAATGTTGTACAACAGTCTTCGGGCGTGTTATTGCCAGCGACCCCAGAAATCTTGCGGGAGATTTTCTAGACTCGAACGCCCAACTGTCCTTCATAGCTCGAGCGCTGGGTGGCAAATTTCAGGAAATTCTGGTAGAGAACATCGATCAAGTGGTGCTGAGCTTGGTCGAAGGAATTGCCGATGAAAAGGCCATTCAACAGAGTTTTGGTGAAACGGTGTTTTTCACTTGCAAGGGGATTTCGTTGGCGGATTTTCGGTTGTGCTTGCAATTTATTGAGGTAAGTTCAAAATAAGCAAAAAAATGTTTATTTGGAAAACACCTGAGACAAGTGCGTGGTTTTATCCTAAATTTTCGCATGCCTTGGGGGTTCTGCTCATAAAGGGCCCGAAAACTTGGAAAACCTGCACAGATCTGTTATCTTTATGTATACAAAGTTCCGCCTTCATTGTAAGAAAGTTTTCGAAGTACTATTTGCTGAGCGGTATTTTGGTAATGGAACTTTATTTTTTATTTTTTTATTTGGTATTTTTAGATAACCTATTCATAGAGCGTTTTTTAGTTATTAAGTTCCATCCGCAGTGTCTAACCTTCAAAGAGATCGAAGCCAAAATAATAAATTTCCAGGGTTTTTGAAGAGTATGTGAAGAGTCGTAAGAACCATTTCGTTAGATTCACTGAAGGCTGCCTCTTATGTTTTAAAATTGTAGGAAAAATCCTAACCTCTGAAGCGATTGAAGCAATAAAGCACAGAAAATATCGTTCGCGGAAACGATCGAAAATATCCGTTCAGTTTTGAGATTCATTTCGATCGAGTGTTTTTCGGCTTTCTTTTCATGATGCTAAATTACCAATATTTTACGACATTACAAATACACAAATTGCAATCTTTTATAGAGATTATCTCATAAGCCATATTTGAGCGGTTCGCTTTGACTCGGAATCTTTAACCTCCAAAGAAATAGAAGCAAAAATATAGAAAAGTTCGTATCTCAGAAACGGATGAAAATATTTGACGAGCCTTAAAAACAATTTAATCAGTTCGAAATTGATTTTTCTGGTGGAGGATCTCATTAGCCATCTTTCACCTATTCGTTTTGATCGGAAAATTCTAACCTCTAAAGAGATAGAAGCAAAAAAGAAAACAACTCATATCTTCGAAACGGATGAAAGTATCTGACGAGCCTTCAAAACAATTTTGATAGGCAAAATTCGATTTTTGTCTCTTAAAGTTGTAGAAAATTGTCTAACCTCTAAAGAGTTAAACGCCAAACTTTAGACATTTTTACATTTTCCCTTGTATCACTTAAACAGTCAGAACCAGCTGAAAAATCGTTCGGACCTTTTCGATAGAGGATCTCATTAGCCATCTTTTACCTATTCGATTTGACCGGAAAATTCTAACCTCTAAAGACATCAAAGCAAAAAAGAAAACAGCTCATTCATATCTTCGAAGCGGATGAAAGTATCTGACGAGCCTTGAAAACAGTTTCGATAGACAAAATTCGATTTTTGTCTCTTAAAGTTGTAGAAAATTGTCTAACTAAAGAGTTAAAAGCCAAACTTTAGACATTTTTCCTTATATCACGCAAACGGTCAGAACTAGCTGAAAAACCTTTTCTATAGAGGATCTCATTAGCCTTCTTTCACCTATTCGCTTTGATCGGAAAATTCTAACCTCTAAGGAGATAAAAGCAAAAAAAAAACAGCTCATTCATATCTTCGAAACGAATGAAAGTATGTGACGAGCCTTGAAAACAATTTCGATAGACAAAATTAGTTTTTTCTCTCTTAAAGTTGTAGAAAATTGTCTAACTAAAGAGTTAAAAGCCAAACTTTAGACATTTTTACATTTTCCCTTGTATCACGCAAACAGTTAGAACTAGCTGAAAAACCTTCAGACCTTTTTTATAGAGGATCTCATTAGCCTTCTTTCACCTATTCGCTTTGATCGGAAAATTCTAACCTCTAAAGACATCGAAGCAAAAAGAAAACAACTCATTCATATCTTCGAAACGGATGAAAGTATCTGACGAGCCTTGAAAACAATTTCGATAGACAAAATTCGATTTTTCTCTCTTAATGTTGTAGAAAATCGTCTAACCTCTAAAGAGTTAAACGCCAAACTTTAGACATTTTTCCTTATATCACGCAAACGGTCAGAACTAGCTGAAAAATCGTTCGGACCTTTTCGATAGAGGATCTCATTAGGCATCTTTCACCTATTCGCTTTAACCGGAAAATTCCAACCTCTAAAAACATCGAAGCAAAAATAGAAAACAGCTCATATCTTCGAAAAGAATGAAAGTATCTGACGAGTCTTGAAAACAATTTCGATAGACAAAATTCTATTTTTCTCCCCTAAAGTTGTAGAAAATTGTGTAACCTCTAAAGAGTTAAACGCCAAACTTTAGGCATTTTTACATTTTTCCTTATATCACGCAAACAGTCAGAACTAGCTGAAAAATCGTTCGGACCTTTTCGATGGAGGATCTCATTAGGCATCTTTCACCTATTCGCTTTAACCGAAAAATTCTAACCTCTAAAAACATCGAAGCAAAAAGAGAAAACAGCTCATATCTTCGCAACGGATGAAAGTATCTGACGAGCCTTGAAAACAATTTCGATAGACAAAATTCGATTTTTCTCTCTTAAAGTTGTAGAAAATTGTCTAACCTCTAAAGAGTTAAACTCCAAACTTTAGACATTTATACATTTTCCCTTATATCACGCAAATGGTCAAAACTAGCTGAAAAATCGTTCGGGCCTTTTCGATGGAGGATCTCATTAGCCATAAAAAATCGTTCGGACCTTTTCGATCATTAGCCATCTTTTACCTATTCCGTTTGATCGGAAAATTGTAACCTTTAAGGAGATTGAAACAAAAAAAGAAAACAGCTCATTCATAGCTTCGAAACGGATGAAAGTATCTGATGAGCCTTGAAAACAATTTCGATAGACAAAATTCAGTTTTTCTCTCTTAAAATTGTAGAAAATTGTCTATCCTCGAAAGAGTTAAACGCCAAACTCTAGACATTTTTTACATTTTCCCTTGTATCACGTAAACGGTCAGAACTAGCTGAAAAATCGTTCGGACCTTTTTGATGGAGGATCTCATTAGGCATCTTTCACCTATTCGCTTTGAACGGAAAATTCTAACCTCTAAGGAGATGGAAGCAAAAAACGAAACCAACTCATATCTTCGAAAGGGATGAAAGTATCGGACGAGCCTTGAAAACGATTTCAAGGGAGTAGGGCGAATTTTTTACTTCAGAGTGAAACCTGAAACTGTGGGGTGTGCATGGTAGGGTCTCTTGACAAAGCCGCACTTCGACCATGGTCTCAAAATGTAATAAATAAGTAATAAAACTAAAGTTCTAATAAATAATTCTTAATACTTAAACCGAATGGATTTTTGTCTATTTTAGACGTTCCTGTGCGATGGCAAGCCTTTAATAAAGTGTCTAAGCGAGAACAAACTGCACAAAATCCAAAAAATCATGCTGGAGCTGCAATGCCGAATTTATAATGGCACATCGATCGATCAGCAGTTGAAAAACTTCCACCAGTACACGGTTTTCATTGGCTTGATTCTAGAAGACCTGAGCAAAGAGTGCAGCTTCTTGATGTTCTTCCTAAGAGACTCTGTGCATTTCCTGGTTAATTTGCTCAACAATCGGATAGGAAAGGAAGGTTTGAAGCTCTGCAAATCGGTGTTAAGATTTATGATGACTTTCTTGTGCCGCGTGCTCCAAGGGTGCGCAGGCGAGTTTAAAAAGTTCTTTGTGTTCACGGCGAATTCGCTGAAGAACATCGGAATGGAAAACGATAATTTATCGCCAATCTGCGTAGAAATTTTAGAGTTTCTCATTATTGACAACGAAGAGCATTTTCAGGATGTCGCATCCAAACTGGATGCTTTTCCGTTAACCGCAAAGTTTATAAACCTGCAGCAAAAGCAGTGTGTGGATCGAACGGTGTCTCTGGAGGACGAAATCCGGGCGTTTCTTGACTACAACGACTTGACCATCAGACAGGACAGTCTGGTGCATCTGAAGAAACTTCTGGGCAAAGAAAAGGAACAGTTGCGGCACCTGTACGATGAACTAAGTAAAGTGAGAGGCTTTTCTGAAGATTGTGAGCAGAGCCTTCTTCACAGGCTCACGACGATGCTGATCAAAATCAGCTGCCAGCGTAGCGAGATCAGTAATGAAGCGCTGAAATGTCTGGGCGAACTTGGCCCGGCCAACTTAACAACCATCGTTTTGGAGCCGGAAAAACGGGTGCTGAACATCAAGTGCACCCCATTTGAACTGCTAACTGGCCATGTGGTTTCGATGCTGGCCCAATCCATTATAGATCCAGATATCAAAGTGGTGCGAGCGGCCAGTGAGGCTTTGCATGAGGTTCTGGGGTTCAAAGAGGGCAAACAAGTCGTGGGTACGTTTCCGTTTATTTTTTGTTAGTCAGTGAATAATTGTATATTGAAGGTTCTTCAGAAGACTTCGGCTATGGACCGATTGAGGCCAGTTTCATCAGGCCATTTCTCAATCGCGCCAAATCTGGTGCTTCGCAAGTGAGGATGGCGGAAGACAAAGTCAGGGAGCTTGTGAACCATGAAAGCACTTGGTGTGCGACGGGAATATCAGGAAACCAGTGGGTGACTTCGTTAGTGTTGGCTTTATTGAGCAGCTTTGAACATGGGTGTTACCTGAAGAAGCTCATCGATCTGTGCAGTGTCAAGGTAAATGTTTTTTTAATTGACTTGAGGGTTTACTCTACTATGGTCTTGCAGGCAAAGTTCTGCGAAAATTTGCTGCCATTGCTCATCTACTTGATCCTTTATTTGGACAACGACTTTGTCACTTGCGTGCTCTCAAAGCGGATCAATGAGTTTTTCAACCAGCACTGGATTTGCACGGTTTCCACTCCCACCAAAGATGATGCGATAGTAGTCAATAAGAAGTCCGTTAAGTGTTTGCTGGACGTTATCAATTTTATACGCCAACAGCCGAGCCTTCCCAACAAGTAATTAGATGGATTTTAGTGAGAAAACGCAGCCAAAATTGGGGGTTTTTAGGTTCGAGGAACTGAAGTTGGACTATCTGAAAATCGCCAAGGCGGCAGCATTTTGTTCGGCCCATTTCTCAGCGTTGCTTTATGCCGAGTTGTGGTGTCGGGAGAAAATGGTCCACATGGAAACGCAACGAACAGCGCCGAAAAATCGGGCAGCATTTGAAAACGAGCACACTTTTCTGGATCAAATTCTGGAGAACGTGTCAGAGGAGGAAAGGATTACGTTCCAACAGATTATGCAAAATGTAAGTTTGATCACTTTTGCAGGCGGACTGCCGTGCCGAGAAAATTTTAAAATTATTGAAAAGCTGGTGCGAGTTTCGCCTGTGCAGTTTTTTCAGGAAGTTATAACGTCTAAGGGGGTAGAACCAGAAAAGTGAAGCGTTTGCTTCGCGTAAAAGGCTGGAAACATCCAATCAGGCATTAAAAGCTTTTCAAGCCTGGCTCAATAGCTTTGTTTCACTATATTTGTCCATCAATTTTAAGCCTCTAAAGAGGCAGAAACGTATAAACACGCTGTAGTAGTGTGTAGAAATCGCTGAATGAAATACACTAATTTAATCGTTAAAGAATTTAACATGAAAATTAATCGGTCAGATGGAGTTTTAGTTCTCCGCTCATTGAAATTAAAAAAATTGAAGTCGAAAAGGTTGAAAAAAATCGCCTGTACCCTTTTTCCTGGGCTGACTGGCACTGGTACTTTTTCAAATTATTCAAAGATTTCCTGTAAATCGAAGGTTGGAAGAAATGTTCAGGTGAAAAATTATGCCTGAGTAATTTTGATTTCTTATCGAAATTTTTTTAAGGATGGGGTCTATTTTTTGGCAAAAATACAAATTTTCTCAACATGCCTGAAATTCTTCATTATTTTCATCTATTTCTATTTTAGGCCCTTTTTGAGCGGTCACGAACTTTAACCGACGATATTTTCCTTAATTTGGACTCAAACTCTTTAAATATGTAGATTGCGGAGCTCCTTAGGGTAAAAACAATGCGATGATTTTAAAAAACGCATCGAAAATTTTGATTTTTAATCGAAAATTTCTTGAGTGATTGTTTTCAAAAATACCATTTTTTCCAAAATGCTTGAAATTCTTCATCATTTTCGTCTCCAGAAAGCCAGAAGTCCACCGAGCTCATTGAAAAATACTCTTGAAGCTTTAAATCCCAAATAATCAAAAATTTTGGTTCAATTTAGGCCGTTTCTGAGCGGTCACGAACTTTAACCGACGATATTTTCCTTAATTTGAACTCAAACTGTTTAAATATGTAGATTGTGGAGCTCCTTAGAGTAAAAACAATGCGATGATCTTAAAAAACGCATCTAAAATTTTGATTTTTAATCGAAAATTTCCTAAGTGAGTGATTTTTTATTCAAAAATACCAATTTTTTCAAATTGCTTGAACTTCTTCATCATTTTGGTCTCCAGAAAGCGAGAAATCCACCGAGCTCATTGAAAAACACTTTTGGAGCTGTAGATCCCAAATAATCAAAATTTTTAGCTCAGTTTAGGCCGTTTCTGAGCGGTCACGAACTTTAACCGACGATATTTTTCTTAATTTGGATTCAAATTCTTTAAATATGTAGATTGCGGAGCTCCTTAGGGTGAAAACAAAGCGATCATCTTAAAAAACGCATGAACAAATTTTATTTTTAATCGCAAATTTCTTAAGTGAGTGATTTTTTTTTAAAAAATACCAATTTTTCCAAAATGCTCAAAATTCTTCATCATTTTCGTCTCCAGAAAGCAAGAAGTCCACCGAGCTCATTGAAAAACATTCTTGAAGCTTTAGATCCCAAATAATCAAAATTTTTAGCTTAATTTAGGCCCTTTCTGAGCGCTCACGAACTTTAACCGACGATATTTTCCTTAATTTGGACTTACACTCTTTAAATATGTAGATTGCGGACCTCCTTAGGGTGAAAACAAAGCGATCATCTTAAAAAACGCATGAACAAATTTCATTTTTAATCGCAAATTTCTTAAGTGAGTGATTTTTTTTTCAAAAATACCAATTTCTCCAAAATGCTTGAAATTCTTCATCATTTTCGTCTCCAGAAAGCGAGAAATCCACCGAGCTCATTCAAAAACATTCTTGAAGCTTTAGATCCAAAAAAATCGAGATTTTTAGCTCAATTTAGCCCGTTTCTGAGCGGTCACGATTTTTAACCGAGACAAAGCAAAAAGTCAAGAATTTGTCAATCATTCGTCTGTCTATCTTTTACCGATTCGATTTGATTTTCAGATGCTAACATCTAAAGAGTAGAAGCCAACATTTTAAGGGCTCGTACATTTTAAAACACCTTACAACTTCGAGACAGTTGCAAATATTGAAATAGTCGTTCGGAGCTTTTAGATGGCTTGTTTGAAGAACTCCGTTTTACCAATTGGTTTTATCAGACATTCCTAACCTCTAAAGAGATAGAAGCAAAATAACTGAAAAATCTAATATCTCAAAAACGGTCGACAACATCGAATCAGTTGTTATGTTTTTTTATTTCTTGTTTCACGAACTTTGAAAAGGATGGATTTTACATTCAGACCAACAAATATATTGGAGTCTAATGGATGTTCAAAGAGACTTTTGTGCAAAAAATTGTAGTGTTGACCTCCACAGCATTGTCATTGGGGGCAAGCGATCTAAAATATGGCCATACTTCCGGTAATACCGAAAGTAGGTATCAACTTGCTAATTTTAAATGGAACACCCTATATATGTTTACACTTTTAAATTCAAATTATAATTTATTTTATTTAAAATTTTAAAAAAGTTGCTATATTTTGTAAGGTGGCTATGGAAGTCAATAAATAAGTGTATAAGACTTTATCAGGATTTGTAAGATGTTGAACATCGCACAATATTGGCCGATTAAAGATTTACTGGCAAGTGTTGCAAATCGCGCTTAAAATATGCCTGATGATGACTTCCAATGAGCAAAATTCCTCTAAAAGGAACATTGAAGGAAAGCTAGTGAGCACTAAAAAATTTGTCACCGATTTTCTTCAAAGATAAAACGATGAACGCTGAATTGTTCTACATAAAAACTTTGTTGAATAGATTTTAGGAAAGTTTCTTCTGGAAGAACCCAATTTATCACGAGTTTCCTGCAATTTTCCATTTAACAGAATGCTTCTCAACATCCAAACATTGACAGTAATTATTGAAAATGACCGGAAAACCTGCAATAATCTCGAAAAACGTGTGCGAACAACACCAGCATAAAGACACCAGTTCAACAGATTGATCGAACAAAACGCATTGAAAGACTAAAACGTTCTTCTTGCTTCCCACTGTTCTTTCTGATAGCGGTTTATTACAATTTCTCGATCTTACCCACTTATATACAGGGTGATTAAAAAGTGGCGTCATTCCTCTGGAGGTGTTTTGGGAGTACATGAAAAATAGTTAAAAAAGTTCATTGTTAATTAAAAACTGAAATATTTGCAAAAAACTCGATCAGAAGGATGGCAACAATGTTTTTCAACGTAATCTGCATAATTAACATTATGTAAAAACCTGCTGCGTCATATCATCTATCATAACCTTGAATAGATGTGTACACTGCACAAATAAATAAACATTTCAGTCTTAACTCCTGCTCAATTTGCACCGGTGTTCAGTAAACCATTGGTTTAATGTGTCCTTGTGCTGTGCGTATCTTACGTAACTATGTGGAAGGAATGTAGCCCTTCCTGGGCATTTATTAGGTGGTTATTAGGTTAAAAGCTTGAAAAGGAGCTTCAAAGTACATCACATTCGGAGAAGTTATTAACAAAGGCTATATACCTGTAACTATCTGTTGATGATAAAAACCAGCATTGCCGCTTTGACTTTTCAACAAAAAATTGTAGAAGGGAACTTTTTTAATATCAAACATTTTCGTGTTTGAAGCAAAGATCGTAATTATTCTTTTAAATATGGGACAATTTCAAAATAATGTTTAATAACAAAGTGGAACTACGATTTTCAACTGTTAATATCTTCTAGAAATTATCGGAAAAAAAATTGCAATATTTTTCTCGTACTCTCCAAGTGAGCCTCTATCTCCCCTTAAAAGGAATGACGCCAATTTTGAGTCACCCTGTATATGTATTGTGTCTAAACCTTCTAAATTGTATATACATCTAATAACCGAAGGGAGAGAGGAAAGTAAGGTCGCATATTAAAAACCCAGAAGGAAAAACTAACAAACTTTATTAATAAAGTGCATGTTATTCAACACATYCATATTGATTGTCAATGGCCATGGTAGTAGTGTAAAGTATGCCTTTACAAACAAGGCACCCAAATCTARAATCTATTAAAATATTTCTTTCCTAAAAATTAAGTTACCAACTAATTCAGTCATGTGGGATAATAAAATAAGAACAGTAAATAATGCATTTTTTGCAACATCGGCTTTTTTCTACAGTCTATCTACGTTYGCATGTGGATCACAAAAGCRGTTCACTTCGGGCAAATMCTGAAGATGCAAGTAYAWACGCGCGGAAACGTCAGGAATAAGTTCTAATTTGCKACAGTTTAAAAAYCCATAMGACTGTTTTTCTGGAAGCTTTTAGCAACTTTATTAAAAACTGTCGACTTCCCATGGATTAAGGTGAAATGCGCTCAAATTCCTCTTCGGCCTACTTCACAAGCTGACGCGATTTGAGTGGGCTTCACTCAGTGAAACGGAAAATGAGGCTCAAAACATGATTATTCTGTTRATTTCAGCCAMGATTTTTCGAGTTAGTTTCAATCTGTTAAATGGCYTAAATCCAGAAATGAGCCTGTGCCCCATCCAGGTGAAAAGTCAGCGCKAAACGACCGGATTTTTTTATGACCCGGTGGTTTTTTCTTGTTTTATATGCGGTTTCAGCTTTTTCTCATTGCCAAGKCTTCATTTGCCGAAACGAGAACTCAATGCATCAACGGAAACGACCGTATGGAGCGCAAGAATAAAAAAGCGCGAGGAAAATTCTAAAGGCTCTCACTCGTGTGTACATTTGACCAGTGCACGTTGCTTTTACTATTGATATAGTTGCCAAATTTCCCTTTTTACAGCAAACTAGATGAAATCGCGCAGACACTGTTTAGAGCCAATTGTCTGGTTTTCATTCGCTTCATCAGCCAATTGCTCAGCTCAAAGCAAAGTCATGCTCTCAGCCTGACGAAAAGCCTGCAGTTTATTAAATCCAATTTCCTATTTCCATTGCAGTCCTACAAATCCATTGGCGATTTGGACGCCCTGTCCGGATGTGGAGTCTCATTACTGTTGCGTGCAGAACATCAAGTGGAATATTACCAGAACACTGGCCAATGGGCGCGAGCCACGGACTATTACATCATGCACTCCATCCACGACCAAAATCTCAATATAGACAACTTACTAATGAGCTTCAAAATGAACCATCTGTACCAGATGCCTCTGCTTTGCGAGAGCTTGTGCAGGGAGCCAGATTATGAGTGTTTGTGGCGACTCGGCCAGTGGAAAATGAGCAAAATTGACCACATAAAGCCTCAGAAGGTGAGGCTTTCCAGGCAACTGAAACCCGTTTGTGAGTTGGAATTTTTAGATAGAATATCGGGACTATGAAAAATACAAATTCAACTGCCTGAAAGCGGTTTGCGACAACGATGAGTACACATTCTCAGCAGCCAAACAGCAGATGAGCAAATGCATTGTAGACAAGCTGAAGCACACGAGTTTGGAAAGCAGCAAAAGCTTGTATCCGATTCTGTCTCAAATGCAGTCGTTGATTGAAGTCGAAGACTGTTTTCAGCTCTTCGAGGGAACAAATGTCGATAAAATCCTGACCAAGTGGAGATTGCAGGACCTGATTATTAGGAAAAACGACTTTCAGTTCGTCGAACCGATTGCTGCGCAGCGAATCACGCTTCTTAGGGAACTGTCCCGGCAGCAGCCTCTTTTGCGGACAGTTTACTGTGAGATGGTTTTAAACTTTGTAGATTATGCTAAAGAGGAATGCCACATTAAAGTGGCCGAAAATGCCCTGATTGACATACAGAAAATACCCGATTTAGATCGCTCGATTGAAAGCGAATTGCAGTTGAGAATTGTGCAACTCCGATGGCTGAATGGGGACAAAATGATCGCCCATCAACTCCTAAGGAACATTTCCTTATCCGCCGAAATCACCCCAAGGTTTTCCAGCTCTGGACAAACGCCGCTCGAATCCTTTAACGTGTTTTCTTTCAGACTGAAAGCCAAAAGCTTGATGCTGCAGGGCATCTATATGGCCGAAACGTACTCAGATAGAGCCCCGATTCTGAACCGCTTCGAGTCCTCATTGCAGATATATGAGCAAATGCCCATTGAGGATCGGACTAAGGAGGACTTGGACAATTTGGAGGACAACTACGATATATTTGCCACATTTGCCGATCGGGAATACCAGCAAGTGAGTCAAAAACCCGGCAAGTTAATTGCTAAGAAATGCCATTCAGAGAGGAGCAAATTTGCTTTATTGATAGAGCCTGGTAGATGAACTGTAGTCGACCAGGTGAACAGCTGGCATGCTGGGGGCCTGTTTAATCCTGGAGAAGAATCTTTGTGACTATGCAAGCACAAGCAGCACTCTTCGGGGGATTTTATTGATATTTTTGAACAATTTTTAGATAATGGCCCATATAAAGTCCGATCTGTTTCAAAAGAAGCTTTCCAATATCAAGTCCTGTAAGGAAATGGCCAATGCGTTGCAGCGGCAGAAGCAAAAAACCGACGACGAAAAAAAAGCGGGAGTCATAAACGAAAGACAGATCAGTATCGATGAAAACGAAATCAAAGCTGCCTTTAGGGACAAGCAGCTTGTGTTGCAAATCGCGCTCAAGTAAGTGTGCATATTCATACACAAGGTGGAGACTAAATTAAGAATAAATGCGATAGAAAATCGGGCAAAAGTTTTTTGCAAAATCTCTCAAACCCTGAAGTTTTTGCTCCCTGATGGGCAAGTTTTGGTGTGGAATGAATGGCTCAATAGCTTTGTTTCACTATATTTGTCCATCTTCATACATGTCCATCTTCAATTTTTAGCCTCCAAAGAGGCAGAAACGTAGAAAAACGCTGTAGAAGTGTGTAGAAAACGTTGAATGAAATACACTAAATTAATCGTTAAAGAATTTAAGATGAAAATTGATCGGTCAGATGGAGTTTTAGTCCTCCGCTCATTGAAATAAAAAAAAATGGTCCAAAAAAAAAAGTCCAAAAGGTTGAAAAAATTCCCTGGGCTGGCTGGCACTGGTACTTTTTCAAATTATTCAAAAATTTCATGCAAATCGAAGGTTGGAAGAAATGATCAGCTGAAAAATTATGCCTGAGTAATTTTGATTTCCTATCGATCATTTTCTAAGGATGGGGTCTATTTTTTGGCAAAAATACAAATTTTCTCAACATGCCTGAAATTCTTTTTATCTCCAGAAAGCGAGAAATGCAACGAGCTCATCGAAAAACACACTTGAAGCTTTTGATCCGAAATAATCGAGATTTTTAGCTCATTTTAGGCCCTTTTTGAGCGGTCACGAACTTTGACCGACGATATTTTCCTTAATTTGGACCCAAACTCTTTAATTATGTAGATTGCGGATCTCCTTACGGTGAAAACAATGCGATGATCTTAAAAAACGCATGAAAAATTTTGATTTTTAATCGAAAATTTCTTAAGTGAGTGATTGTTTTCAAAAATACCAATTTTTTCAAAATGCTTGAAATTCTTCATCACTTTCGTCTTCAGAACGCCAGAAGTCCACCGAGCTCATTGAAAAACACTCTTGAAGCTTTAAATCCCAAATAATCAAAATTTTTAGCTCAATTTAGGCCCTTTCTGAGCGGTCACGAACTTTAACCGACGATATTTTCCTTAATTTGCACTCAAATTCTTTAAATATGCATATTGCGGAGCTACTTAGGGTGAAAACAATGCGATGATCTTAAAAAACGCATGGAAATTTTTATTTTTAATCGAAAATTTCTTAAGTGAGTGATTTTTTTTCAAAAATACCAATTTTTTCAAATTGCTTGAACTTCTTCATCACTTTCGTCTCCAGAAAGCGCGAAATTCACCGAGCTCATTGAAAAACACTCTTGAAGCTTTAGAAACCCGCATGAATTTTTTTTATTTTTAATCGAAAACGAAATCAAAGCTGCCTTTAGAGACAAGCAGCTTGTGTTGCAAATAGCGCTCAAGTAAGTGTGCATATTCATACACAAGGCGGTAACTACATTAGCAATAAATGCGATAGAAAATCGGGCAAAAGTTTTTCGCAAAATCTCTCAAATCCTGCAGTTTTTGCTTCCTGATGGGGAAGTTTTGGTGTGGAATGAAAGTATGCAGGGTGATTAACTTGTAAATGTAAATATTTCGAAAACTGTTTAGAAGCAAAAAATTTGCGAAATATAAAAGATGTTTAGACTCACTCGTTTCACCATAATTCGCAGTAAAATACAGAATGTTGTCCAAAAAGACTTTAAATATGTAGATTAGGGAGGTCCTTAGGTTGGAAATATTGATCTTAAAAAATACGCATAAAAAAGTTGATTTTTAAACGAAAATTTTGCAAGTGTGAGGGTGTGAGGGTTGATTTTTTTGCAAAAATACCAATTTACTCAAAATGCCTGGAATTCTTCGTCATTTTCATCTCCCAAAAGCGAGAAATGCACCGAACTCATTGAAAAATACACTTGAAGCTTTTGATCCGAAATAATCGAAATTTTTAGCCCATTTTAGGTCCTTTTTGAGCGGTCAGGATCTTTAATCGATGATGTTTTTCTTAATATAGGCTCAAACACTTTTGATATGTGGTTTGGGGAGCTCCTTATGCTGAAAACAGTGCATTGAAGTTACAAAACAGGCATTAAATTTTTGTTATTTTTGACCGAAAATTTCTTAAGAGTGACGATTGATTTTTTTGCAAAAATACCAATTTTCTGAAAATGCCTGAAATTCTTCATCATTTTCATCTCCAGAAAGCGAGAAATGCACCGAGCTCATTGAGAAACACTTGAATCTATATATCCGACATAATCAAGATTTTTAGCTCATTTTAGGCCCTTTTTGAGGGGTCACGATCTTTAAACGACGATATTTTCATTAATATGGACTCGAACACTTTAAATATGTAGTTTGGAAAGTTCCTTAGTTTGAAGACAATACCTTGCAGTTAAAAAACAGGCATTACAATTTTGTTATTTTTAATCGAAAATTTCTTAAGAGTGAAGTTTGATTTTTTTGCAAAAAATCCAATTCTGTCAAAATGCCTGGAAGTCTTCGTCATTTTCATCTCCAGAAAGCGAGTAATGCACCGAGCTCATTGAGAAACACATTTGAAGGTTTGGATCCGAAATAATCGAGATTTTTTGCCCGTTTTAGGCTCTTTTTGATAGGCCACGATCTTTAACCGTCGATATTTTCCTTAATATGGACTCAAACATTTTTAAATATGTGAATTGGGGCGCTCCTTATGTCGAAAATAATGCATTAATCTTGGAAAACACGCATGAAAAATTTTGATTTTTAATCGAAAAGATGAGGGTTGATTTTTTGAAACTATAAAAATTTGGCATACATTTACGTTGACACGCTCGCTACTGGTGGACCAAAAAAACGAATTATTCAATAAAAACATGGCCCTTCGATAGTTTTTTGGGCTTTTTATATCTGGAAAATTTCATTAAAACATCTCGGACGGTTTCATAAATTTCAACAAGTTTTCCCTTAAACATCCTCGTTTATTAGTGAGTGAACTGAAGTTTGTCGAATCATTTTTGAACCGCCCTGTTCATACGTAATATTGCCGCTTGTTTCAGACATTACATCAACAATCTAGTGGCGAGTGATAAGAACAATATAAAAATTTTCCGAGTGATGGCACTGTTCATCGAAAATAAGGATAACAAAAGTGTGATCGAAACGCTGCAGCAGATGATACCGAAAATGTCCAGCTACAAGTATATTCCGATGTTGCCGCAGCTCATTCCGCACATCAGCAACAATCCGAACGACTTCTTCGGCCAGCAGATCAACCGCATCATCGAACAATGTTCTACTGATCATCCGCATCACACTTTGCCTCTGCTGCTGGCGCTTGTCAACGCTAATAAAGATCGCGAATACACCAATTCGAAGAAACTGGGCGCTAATGACCGCAGTGCCACTGCGGTGGCTATTATTAAGAAATTGCGGAAAACCCACTTGCGCAACATTGTGGATAGAATGCTGAAACTATCGGAGGCCCTCATTGAATTGGCCTATTACGTGCCTGTACTCACCTCTACTCGCAAGAACCAGTTTGAGATTCCCAACAGGTATAAAATCCACGGCATTAAGCGATTTGAGGACGTTTTGGTGCCAACTTGCTCAATTCCTCCCAGCAGGACTAACACATACAACACCATTGAAGGTAAGAGCTTAATTCGATTAAAAACCCTCCAAACAGGAGTGGTTACAGCCCTGTTTGGAGTGTGTTAAGTAGGCCCGGTAACACAGTGGATTTTCAGGTGTTGACACACTAGCACCAATACGGCGTATCGCGTCAACACTTTTTATGATGCAGTATAATAATACGATAAATGCCTTCGGAGAATAACAGACGACCTGGTGTTACGTGATGGTAGTGGTAAGACGCGAGGTGTTATAACGCATTGACGCACAGAGCGGCATGAACACTAAAGTGCTACACAACACCGTGTTGCCCAAGCCTCACTTGATAATATCAAGTGTGTCAGCATATATTTTATCTTTAAAATCGGTTAGGAGAATATTGAATGATTGCCAACAGAATTTTGGGTTGCATGGGCTGATTCTTATTGAAATCATTTGAAATCTCACGAAAAAACGCTTGAATGGCAAATTGAGGACTTTATCATTTTCTTTCCAACACTGCTTTTAAATTGCAAATCGATTGTGATGTCACTGCGCTACAGACAAAAGACATATTTCGAAGGTGAACGTTGCCATTTTGCCTCCAGAGCTGATTTTCTATGGCTTCTGCTTCCACTTTTTTAAGTCCTACAAAATGTTGTTTGTGTCCTACGAAAAGCTTATACAGGTACTTCTTCAAGAGTGGAAAATTATCTTGCAACCGCATCTCTCATCTCTTCAATTGGTTGGGAGATTATTGAATAGTTGCCAAAATAATTTTGGTTTGCATTCATATGCTGTTTGATCGTCGCACTGACTATCTGGCTTCTGGCCATTCAAAATCTAACAAAAAAACACTCAAAAGATGAATTAAAGACAGTAAGATTATCTTTCATAAGCACTTTTTCAATTGCAAATCGATTGTTATGCGTATGTGTTACTGGTTAAAGAAGTTTTCAAAGCATTCGTTCGCATTTTCTCCAGCACTGATTTTCGTGCACTTGTGCTTCCACTATTTGTAGGCCTTTGTAGAAAATGATCTTTCTAATTGAGTTACATGCCGAAAAAGTCTGGAAATCACCCGATGGCATTTTCCTCCGGGCATTGATTTTCATTCGTTTCTGCTGCCAATATTTTAAATCTTGCAGAAAAAATTGTGCAGATATGAATTGAAGAGTATAAAATTATCTTTAAAACGCACAACTTTCCTGTAAGATCGGTGGTCGAGAGTATTGAATAATTGCCAACGGAATTTTGGTTTGAATCCATTGGTTGTTTGTTTATAACACTGACTTGCGTTCACTCTTAACTTTGCATTTATAATCTACTAAAAAAACACTGGAAAAGCAAATTAAAGACCGTAAAATTAAGTTTCTAAAGCACTTTAGAGTCATGGCACTTAATTTCATGTTAAAGAAGTCTGGAAGGCACCTGATGGCATTTTCCTTCTAGCATTGATTTTCATCCGCTTCTGCTGCCAATATTTAAAATCTTGCAGAAAAAATTGAGGATTGATATTATATGAATTGAAGAGTATAAAATTATCTTTCAAACGCACAACTTCTATCTAAAATCGGTTGTCGAGAGTATTGAATAATTGCCACCGGAATTTTGGTTTGAATCCATTGGTTGCTGGTTTATAGCGCTTTCTTTAGCTCCTAACTTCCTATTTGGAATCTGATAAGAAAACACTCGAAAAATAAATTAAAGGCTGCAAAATTATCGTTTTAAATTGCAAATCGGTTTCCAGGCTCCTGAATTGATGAGCAAAATATATTGGAAATCAGCTCGTTCGTTAATTTATTCGAAAATTCATCTCCTACATCAGTCTGAATTATATTCGATGGGAGTTTAATTTTAAATAATCCGCAGAGTAGAAAGTTCAGTTTTTCTTAATCGGGGTCTGTTTCAATGCTTAGTAGTTTCACCACCAAAAATTATTTTTTATGAAATAAATTTTAAAATATTTGGTGACTTGGTAAAATACTTGTTTAATTAAAAAAAATATCTCTTGTTGATTTGTTTCTTATTTGGACAAAATGAAACATAATTCCATGCAACAGTTTCTCTCTACTTTCAACAGGAGTGTAATGAATGAACTTTTTCAGGTGAAGCCAGAGGTAAAAATCGAATGGATTTAAGCCGGGGGCACTGCTGGGCCAAGCCACAGGAAAAATATTTTTTTCGTGATCTTTAACAATAATTAAATGAGTTCACGTGCTTCTTATTGTGTCCAGTGGTCCATCCTGTAATAAATCTTTGAAATTATTTTGAAGAAATTCCATATAAAGTTGTGCATTCATTAGTGGCGACAATACAAAGGGTCCTATCAAAAAGTTGCAACAATTCGTAAATTGGTGTTGATACCGTGAAACTATCGTAAAATGAAGGTTTTTATTGGTCTTTACATGCAAACTATGTGAATGAATAATGCAATTTTTACTAAATCCTGCTTATTTGTCTGTGAAAAGAATTGTACCAAAGAAGTTGCCAATATTTTGTTGTGGTTCCCACAACCAGTTTTCATACACGGTTGAGGGCCGATTGCTGCTTTTAGGTACAAGAAAAATTGTTGTTTTGAATGCATGTAACTGCGCAGACAGTTTGTTAACACTTGTTCAAGAATCCTCTTTTACAACGTTCGGGAAATTCTCCTCTAATTGAGGCGTTCTGGCCGTTCTTTACAAACCAACATTATTTGATTTTCTTGGGAAACGTTCCTGAAATACCCCGAGCCCCGGGCCTCGTAATGCGTTAATGAGTTATAACTCTTTACCTCACATAGCGACGTTAACCCAATAGCTAGGCCTGAGCAACACTGTGTTGAGTTGCGCTATTGAGTTGTTGCCCGCCTCTGAGTTAACGAGTTATAACTCATCGGTTAATGACTTATAAAAATAATTTATTAAAGGTTTACGAGGCCAGAGATTGGAATTTTCACATGTAAAAAGAAAGGTCATCAAGATTTTTTTCTGAGTAACGTTTTCCTGCTTTGTTCAAACAACTAAAAAAAATAATCTAGATTTTGCCAACAACAGAACTGAGTCCAAAAAAATTCGACAAGTTTTCTTGTAAAATCGATCTCTTTTTTTTGCATAAGATTCAGTTTGCCAGTATTTTACAGAAAAACGTTAGGAAAAAGTGGTTTTTGTGTTTAGAGACAGTGTTTACAAATATTGACCTACAAGTCAAGAAACTCCAGTTTCCAAGAGTTTTACAAATACATGATTATAAACATTAGCTTTTTCAGTTCGGGGAAATATTGTTTGGAAAAAGGCCCAGTTATTTATTAGGGTTTTGTCCATAATTTGATGCTGCAAACATGTTTGGAAAACTTTTTTGCAGAGGAAAAAAAGCAGTTAAGGAGGCGAGTGTTTCAATCAAATTTATCTTATAATTTTTCACAGAAAATGCCTGAAGTGTCAGTATTTTAACTAAAAAATAATGCGATTTTTGCGTAGAAATAATTGCTTAATTGAAACTTTGTTAAAACTAAAATGACCTGAAAATTTAAAGGAAGTTTAAAAATTCTCAGAGCGATGAGGGCGACGAATTTTCCAAATAATTTTTTGTTAAACTTTTGTTCTCTGGTCATTTTTAGATAATCTTAATTACTTTTGGTAAAGAACTGAATAAAATAATTTGGTTTTTGTGCCAAATTCGAAGCTTAAAAAATGCTTTCTAAAGTTCCCTGCAAACCATCAACCAAATCATCTGAAAATAATGGTTTGTTTACGTTTTCGATTGCGAACTTTTATTTTGATGCTCGGTTTTGGAGAAAACCTTAATTGTTTTCGGGAAAAAACGGGAGGAGTTTATTTTCGTTTTTGTCCCGAATTCGACAATAAAAAAAGTTTTTGTAAAATTTTTCCAAAGCTTTAAATTTATCTTGTTATTTTTCGAGTAAAATACTTCCAGATCGTCAGTATTTTTAAGTGAAACTCTGTAAAATATAGCGTTTTTGAGTAGAAAGTAAAGCAAAAAAATCAGTCAAAACTAAAAAACCACATTTTTTAACAAACTCTCGTACACACAGCAAACAAGAGTAACTTGGCTAAAACTGTAAAATTTGCAATTTTGTAGAAATTTTAAACATATTCTTAATTCCAAATCAAATTCATTCCTGGGTTTCAGTCATTCATCTATTCAGTCTTCACATTCTTCATTGTCTCTACTTATCAATCAAAATACGTTTCGGTGTATTTTTCCACCATCATCAGTTTTTATGTGTAGCGTTGTTGCTGCTTTAAGCCTTGGCATGCATT